AAAATTTTTCATTTAATTATGGACACGAATAAAAGAGTATTTGACATATGTCCAAAGAGTGTTGGTGTCCGGACACGGATACGTCATCTTCTCGAAAGTATTCGTGCTTCATTGATTTATTGCTCTAAACTTTTAGAGTAATTGGTGGTTAACATGATATCAAATCAAGAGCACCAACGTTTGAATCTTGCCGCCACCTCGACAATTTAAAGGCTTTCCTTGGCCTAAAATCTAGCTCATGGTTCAAGGTCGCAATATCATTCATCGACTTGAATGGTGCTAATATACATTGATCGTAGCATATTAGCCTTGTATCAGCTGATACAGACAAAATATTAGATAGAAGGCCTAAAAAATCATAAATTTTTCAAAAAATATAAATAACATCTATGCATCATATGTTCAAAATACATCATCTGATACATTAAACATAGTGAAAATGAAAGATAAGGACACTACCAAAAATCATCAACCATTAATATGTCCCACTATAATTATTTGGAACATATTAGTATTTAATTCTTTAATTGAACTAAAATAAGAAAAACAAAATTTTCAATGATTTATAAATATGGGTCTAATGTAATTTTCAACATCTAATTTTAAAGATTCAAAATTTTGAAACAATATGTAAATATTTTTTGGATAGGCAGTAAGTAGATTAGAATAGTATAATAAATAGAATTTCTTTTTAGCATAGGATTCTAGAATATTCTTACTAGAGTAAGTCTCTTGAACGTGATAAGACTACAGAGAGTCTAGGAAAAAGAGAGAGAGAGAGAGAGTCTGAGATACGAGAGACGAGAAATCGATAGAAACAACTTGGGTGACGAGAGATGTGAGAGAACCTGTGTTGCCTACGCCACTGATTTGCTTGGAAGGAGGAGGAGATGGAGGAAAGGGGCTCTCTGCTTCGTCCTTCGCAGCTTCCAAATTTGTCTTGAAATCCTTTAAATTTCTTTTTCCCTTTGTATAGTTTCAAAAGGGAGCATGATTTATAGTTACATAATTTGTGCTTCCCATGGGTCTTTAATTTTCTTCTTCATCTATCTTTTGGTTGGTTGTTGTTGGTTAAGATCTTTGTATCGGTTATGGTTGTAGCCAAGTCAACTCTGATTTAGCTTACTCTCATGGTATTTGGTGTCAGATATCGTTATCAGATCAAAGGTGGTCGAGTCAGATACAACTCGGTTGAGCCGCATTGAATTTCGCTGATACTTTGAATCTTGCTCTAGCTTACACGTTGAGGCGTGTTGAAGTACATAAATACTTTAAATTACACTTTATCTAACTACTTAAACTTTTAGAGTAGTTGAAATCAAACACAAGGGATGCACCAGGAAAATTTATGATACAACAACATTATGAAGCATAGTTTATCTGGAATAAGACTAGTCCACAAAATGAGTATGGCAAACAAGAGGATAATAGGATGATTGAAAAATGACAGTAATGAAGGAGATAGGTGGAAAGATGAGAACATCATAAGAAGCAAGAGGTAACACAATCCAAATAAAGATATGGGAGTCATCCCGGTGCGAGTAAAGTCAAGTGACCACATACAATTAATCCGTGCCACTCATGTGGAGCGACCTCATCAAAGTTGAAAATGCCAAAAACATATTGGTAAGAATGTATCCTAGTTAAAGAAAGAAAGAATCCACCAGTAGTCCTAGGCTATAAACCAACAAATGATATGGTCAAGGAAGAGGTGTATAAATAGGACATACCTGCAAGGGAGAATTTTAAGCCAAGATTGGAGTAATTTACTTATTTCCAAAAGACATAAGTCTTATTTTTTTCCCGGAATGAGATAGAAAGTCTTATTTGCGGTTACCATAATTCTCATATTTAGGAGTTCTGTAAGAATTAAGTATTAAAAAAAATAAAAACTTATAATTAAGCCTCTTTCAAAGAATTATGATTACAGCCTTAACATGAACTGCCTCTAAATACACATCAAGCAAGCCTATTTCTGCACTTCTATGTCTCCGTCTCTATTACCTCTAAACCCATTTTTATTAAAAAGAAAACAAACACAACATAAACCAATACTGAATACAAGGAAGAATACCACATCAAGTCAACATCTTGCTAGCCAGAACCATCATTACAAACCCTAGCTGAACTTCCAATCAATGAACCAAATCAACTTCTGCCTCCTCATCCAACCCAAGATCAATCAGAAAGTTTTTACTTCTTAGGGAAGGAGTAAGACTGTCGAGAGGAACAAAAAACATAATGATTCTCCATTGATTCAATTGAGGTGTTGTTCTTCTACTCACTTTCTTCAAACAAAGTTAAACTGTGAGAGGCTGAGAGCACAAATATAAATCCATTGAAGGAATCTTCATATATTGCAGCTCCAGGTTGATGTGCTTCTAGAACTATATATGAACTCCTTTGACTCTACTCATCCCACTTTCTCCATTTTTATTTCATTTAATTATTTACCTCTAATACAAAACTAAAATTTTTCTTGCCAAAATTTATTGTATACAATGAGTTTGTCAGAGATCCAGGAATTCTTTTAAATGAGATTAGCCACATATTTTAACTTTGAGGAAGAAAAATTAAGAAGCACTAGGAGAGCCCTTAACAAGGGTTAGCACTGTTCCCAGATTAGACACTTCGATATGTATTAGAATATTTCCTAAATCACAAATAGGAGTATTGGTTATTAGCTGAAGTTGATTAACTGCAATCATCCTCACAAAGCCTATGCAGTTATCATTAGAGGTAATTGTGTTAAGAGGCTAAGAAACATATGAAAGAAAGCTTAAAACCATAATTTTAGTCGGAACAAGCCCCAGGTAGTCTAAATTGGCTTAAATATAACTTGACATGTTTCAAAATAGAACCAACCAGCCTCCTACTTTTCCTATGGAAGTAAAAACTAATGTAATGCTGAAGATTTGTCTCAAAATTTTCTTTGCATGGTTCTCCTTTACACGTGTTCTCAGTGATGAAAAAAATAAGAGACTAACCTTTGTGGCAAATGAGATGAGACCCTACTTGTTGAAAGACCAGTACAATTGTGTACTTTGCGCTCGACTCTAAAGCAATTTCTTAAATTTTTAGGCTCAAATTGTTTTCTGTAATTGAAGGAATATTTTTTTATTTTCATGGGCATGATAAACGATAGCTCCAAAACACTCAGTCAACCTACCCACCTGAATTTTGTGTTTTAGAGTTTGAGCAAGCTAAGCATATATCTAAAATATTAAAGCTTTCCAATTTTAAAAGAAAAATGAAAAGAGAAGAGCAACGTCGTAGAATCATTGAAAAAAAGGTCGTTATACATATCAGAAGTAGAAAATCATGAAGTTTTGGAAGTGCCTAAATATCAATATAACTGTCATACTTAATCATCAATAAGTAATGCTATTGTTCGCACAGTAAAAGATTCTGTGACCAGTAAGATAATTAGTAAAACCACACTTCAAGTTGAACTAGCCGTAAAAAGGTATAAAGCTTGATTACAGATGCACAAGCACTATCATAGGTATGACTCAAAGGATTCATAGAAGTAATATGTCAACTTGATTGGAGTGGTTCTTGAGATTGATTCAATAAATATTCCTGAATTTTCCTTTTTTTATCCATTTATGGTAAACAAGAGATTATAATAACAGATGACCACATGAGAGGACATGGAATTCTCAATCATAACGTAAAGCAAGAAGAAAAGAGAATCCTAATAAGCTAAAAACAAGTAAAAGACAAACAAATGAGGGAGTCATGTGGAATCACTAATCATACCCTTGAGCCCAATGATCAAGAATCCTGATTTTCTTGGTTCCCTATCGTACTTTCCTATCTCTCTTTTATCAACTTAATAGTTTTGCTGAAGCAGAGTAACTCTAAAACAAGAAAGACACCCATGTGCTCTTACTTTTTGTGAACATAGACCATAACGGCGGGCCAAATCATACCTTGGGATCTACTCTTATTCCATCCACCCATTTTTTCTTACCCAAGACATTCTCAAAGGTAAATTTTGGAGCAGTTGCACTTACACCAGCCTAAAAGTAAGATGCTTAACAATTCATGAATCATACACTACGTATCATTTTTGGAATCATAGTCTTTTAGCCCTGATAGGCAGTACAACCAACTTGCTTTAAGTTACTTCATCCTAAAAAACCCTCCAATCCAACTTAAAAAAACAATACCATGGCATGATAATACAAAAAATAGTAGTAAACAATGCATATATAAGTCAGATATCCTTTATAGCATCCTAATTTTAAAACATTTGCAACATATTGCATGAAAAAAAAAAAAGCATTAAGCAATGTCTAATATTGCTAAACCAAGTGATGAAATGATATACCTGCTACCAGATAACAAGACCCACAAGGTATGTTTTTCCAAGAACCAATTTTCTGGAAATGACAAATCTGGTAAGATTTAGATAAACCACTGCCCCGATTAAAAGAAAGAAGTTGACAGTCCATCACCACCTTCAATTAAATAATAAAAATGTAGTGGGTAATCGATACTGAGAGCTATACTAAGAAAAAAAATCAAACTGGAAGTAAACATGCATTTGGTCACACACATAAAATGAACAGCTCCTCAGTACATAGATATGTAGCTTAACTGGGAAATGAAAAAATAAACATATGTATAACACAAAGAAGTCAAATCCACCAAAGCTCTAGGTAATCTTTTCAATTTTAAGAATAAAAATGCAAACTTTGATATTTGTTGGCTGTAGTAAAAATAGCATCTATTAAAACAGGTTTTGTTCCAAGAACCAAAAAGACAGAGAAAGGGCTTACCCAGGATTGGGGCAGTGGATGGACATAAAGAACACAAACTCATTAGATTTGAATATGAACCAAGAAACTTGCAGAATATCAGCTCTGAACATCGTTTTTTTTTTTGGACTTGCTGGCAGAGAATATAGATTACTGTAGAAAAGATGTTACAATCCGACTTTAAGATGTCCTAAACCCACATACTAGCACACTAAGAAACACCGAACATTTGTTCATTCATTAATCAAACATCAACAACAATCACAAGACCCACCCGACTTCTCTAACCAAATCCATTATCTGATCGATAATTAGTGGAGAAGATTTTACAACCTTCGGGTCCACGGACCCAAAAAGAAAATGGGGTTGGAATTTCTGGGAATTTTTGGATTCTGGAGTGTCCGGGTTGTCGGAACTGGAAATGCGTATTCTCCAACTAGTGTTGTGTACTTGTGCTGGTGTGTGTCCAGTTGAGTGGAGATGGGAGCTAATGGCGCTGTGAGCTCTGTGTGTATGTATGTGTGTCGGGCACTGGTGATGGGGGCTTCTCGGATTGTGGTGAGTTAGAGGTGGGGGAGGAGAAGAAGATGAAAGAGGGGAAAAAAAGGGCATACCTGGATGTCGTCAGAGCAGTGATCGCGTCTGTGGCGGTCGGTGACGGCGCACACAGCAGGGCGATTGGTGGTGGTGAGGAAGGAAAAGTCGTGACCGAGGGGAATAGCGAAGACCGGCCTGCGGTTGAGTTTGGGCTTTTAAAATACAGCATTGCATCAAATTTCGTTGCAAAACATCGAAAAAACCCAAACATTTTGTAGATTGAAATTAAGGATAAAAATTTTATTTTCGTGCATTATTTTGAATCTTTCAGACACATAAACAGAAAAATTTTAAAAATAAAATAAAAAATTTGAGAATTTATTTTCAAAATATTATGAAATATTGGTTGGAATATATTAAAACTACTTTGAGATATCTTGAAATATATTTATTTGGACATAAAATATCAATTCCTAGAAATATTGGGCTCGTTTGATTGTCGGATTAAAAATGGATAAATTAAATAAAGTAATATAGTCCAATACAATACAATACAATATATTAAAAGCAATATTAAATATGGTATTAGAATAATACGTAATTTTGTCTAGTATTTGACAATAAACAATATAATCATTGGATAGTCGTTATTTAATCTAATTAGTTGTTTGGTTATAAAATTATTTCATCGTATTAATGTTAAATTAACAAAATACCCTCAATCAGTATCTGTTTCATTGATGACAACTTGATTTTATCACTTTGGNTAAATTAACAAAATACCCTCAATCAGTATCTGTTTCATTGATGACAACTTGATTTTATCACTTTGGAGGTTATAATAATAAATGTGTAGAATAATACGTTTGAGTTGGATTATAATACCACTCTCTTGATAATATTAAAAAACCTCTATAATACAGGTCTATCGTATAAAAAATAAACGATAAGTAGACGATTAATATACGTTTTTGAAATTAATACAATATTAAATTTGCTTACCAAACAAAGTGTTAGGCTTAATTAAATAAAAAATATAACAATTCAATATTTAATCTCTTCATAATACGTCTATCAAACGAGCTCATTCAGTATATTAACACCTGGCATCCCAGATTTGTGGAGGAAGTGTCACGTGATAGAATCTGAAGAAATGTGGAAGATAATACAGTAAATAATTGTGGACATGAAAACAATGGCTATAAAAGGGCATGTAGTGTATAAGATAAAGATACACTTAAACCCCCAAAAGACCCACAAATTTTATTTTTTTTTGGGGGGAGGGGAACTTAAATCTTTGACCTCAAAAAAGTAAATATTTTTTATAAGATAAAGAGAATCATTAGACCAAAGCCTTAATTTTTTCACAAAGACAATTGATTTAAAATCTCTGTCGCTGTCACTTCTCGGATGCTACAAAAATATTCTTACGCAGCAATTAAACCAAATCAATAAAATCAAAATTTCACCACGTCAAAAAAAAAAATTGATTTAACTGACCTTTTTTCCGTTTCGATGTCTATTTTGTACTATTCAAGTATTCAAAAAAATATGAACATTAGCAAGAGGAAAAGTGAATGCAAATAAGAAAAAAACAATTATAGTTAGTTTTGAATTTTTTTTGGTGCAATTGATTTCACTTTTTTTTTTATTTGTCATTGTTATTTTTTTATTGGCAATTAACTTGAATTTGAATTTTTGTTATATTTTTTATTGGTGATAAACTTGGTTTTGAATGTCTACAACCTAAGAAATTTTTTTTAACATTTAAATATTTTCTCATATATAAAATCATACAAATTTTTTGAGGGTATTTGGGTTGATGAATAAACCTGAATAACTAATGTTGTATTGGATAAGAAAACGGTGGGGCCCATTTATCCTTAGTTTGGCAAGGCATCTGAAGGCTGGACAATCGTTGGTATTGAAAAACTCGGCCCATAGTTATTGGGCTCATTTATCCCCTCTCAAGTGGATAAACAAATCCCACCAAAAATTTGGGATTAAGCAGTAGCCGATAAGATACACAAGTGTTTTTACCATTACACCCCTATAAAACACTAAAGTAGGGTTTCTTTATCCTATCTTTCCCCTTTTCACTGGTCCCCATCTTCGAATGCCGCCAAATCCTCTCCATTGGCAAGGTGTGCTATCTTTTTGTGTCTATATATATCGCAAATTTTGTGTATCAGTTGAGAGATGTTAGTCTATGTCAGTGTATCGATTTGTGTCCTATTGTGGGTTCATTGGGTTGGGTGTCGCTCTCTATCTCTATATCTCTCTGTCTGTGTAGCTTTGTATGGGTGTATGTTGGGTATNGAGTGATAGAACGTGTATAAGCCAACTCAATATGGATAGGCACACGTTTGTGGTACTGTGTAATATGGTACGTGATGTGGGGCATTTAGGTCCAATTAGGAACGTAAGTGTGAAGGAGATGATGACGATGTTCTTAAGTATTTTAGTTCTGAAGTATTTTAGTTCATGATGAAAAAAATAGACCGGTTAAGTTCAATTTTCTTCGCTCGGGTGAAATTGTTAGTCGTCATTTCAATAATGTGCTTACGACAATTTTAGGGCTGTGTAGGTTATTGCTTCAGTCTCCTGAGCCTATACCNCCCAGCAGTGAGTAACACACACATACATGAATAAAGCTAGATACCCCTATCTTCCGTGTCTTTGTTGCTGCGTCTCTATGTGTGTATCGCTATGTGTCTCTATGTGTGTGTGTGTGGATGTGCAATTAGCGTTATCTTCTCCTTCTTGTGTGTCTCTATTGTTGTGTGTTTGTTTATGTGTGGGTGTATGTTTAATGTGTGTCACTCCTACCTCTTTTCCCTCTATGTCGCTTTGTGTGTGTGTGTGTATGTTCTCCTACCTTGTCTGTGTCGTTGTCGTTGTGGGTGTATGTTCTCCTAACTCGTCTGTGTGTNCAAATGGGTTGAAGATAGCACGTGGTAAGTATTATATTCAGATTGTGTGTACAACAAACATGTAACTATGAATAAAATTACATATGTTGGATACATGTAACCAATATATTCTTATACAATACAGACACGTACTACCTAGTTGATGCTGAATATACAAATGGGGAGGGATATTTAGCACCATTTCGAGGTCAACAAANTGTGTGTGAGTGTGGGGGTGTATGTCTGGGTGTATGTTTAGTTAGTGTGATCTCCTAACCAGTAGGCAAAAATATAATCAGATANAATCCCAAAGAATTGTTTAATCTGAGGCATTATGCAGTAAGAACAAGCATTGAGAGATATTTTACATTATCTAAAAATAGATGGGTGATTCTTAAGGCACCGTGTGTTACTATCTTGTGCGCACTTATAACTACATCATAGTTGCATGTTGTTTGTTACATAACTTAATTAGGNTGCTTGTGGGACACAGTCTTAAACACAGATTATCCAAAGCGTATACACACACACACACACACACACTAGTATGGGGGAAATTGTAGTAATTATTGCAGAGTTTTCATGTTTTTGTTTGCGTTCTGCCATGTGTTGTTGTGTTAAACCAGTTTTTACTTTGTTAACAGTGTATCGGATCACCTTTTCAACGTTTTAAGCCACGACTCAGGTATTCTCAATCATGTTGGACACTTGTGCAGNACCCTTTCAAAGAGGAGTTGCCCGAAAAAATTTCTGTTGATGGTGAACATACAGATGATGTCATAGACAATGTGGAGACATCTACTGAATGGTCGTTTATTTCGTAATCAGATGGCATTGGAAATATACAACGAATGAAAAAGTAGTCATGGTCAACCTATGTAATTTCATGAATTTGTATTTATATATTCACTACTGTTTACTCGAACAAATTATGTTTCATGTTATTGCATGCAAGGAACGTAATGTGTTACAATGTAATTCACTTTTTTTTACATATTGTGGTTGGAATTTTATTATGGTCGTGTCTTACCCGTCGTCCAAACATTTATTGAAAAAAAGAAAAATTATTTGTTGTTGTGTTTTGGACATGAGGTAGACAATGTCACACACAATTGAGAGTAAACAATCAGAGAAAGGTGTCTGGAGGACATAGACTACGACCGAAGAGAATTAGCTTATACTGTCGTTGAAGGACGTGCACGTTAAATGGGTGGAAATGTCAGAATGACACATTTAGACTTGGATATTTACAAGCCCTGAATAACAGTTTGAAATTTGTCATTTTAGGTTGTCAATTATGCGTTTCCCCTCATATGGAGTCCAAGCTGACAATCTGGAAGAAGAATTATTACTCCTTGTTTACTAGGATATCTACTTCAGGCTTTGAGTTTAATAGTATTGAGAATAAGATACTTGTTGATGGTGAAGACATTTGGTAAGACTATTTGAAGGTGATACTCGACACCCAAACTTTTTCTTAGGTTTCATGTTACTACTAGCAAAATAAAGTTTATTTTAAAAAATTTTGATATATTGTCCTCATATGGTATAGAAGGACCGAAATGTAAAAAGCATGCGAGATAAGTCGTGGTCTTACTTCAATGACTGGGGAATGATATTTGGCAAGGACCGGACAATTGGAAAATATGCTATCGATGTGAAAGACATGGTTGGCAATGCTGAGGCTGCAGCGTCAATGAGAGAGGTAGAGAATATAGATGCACACATTCTTTTAGAAAATAATGTACCGACGTCAAGTAATGCAATACATGGAGGTGACCAACCACCTTATATAGAACCAAGTATTGCCTCCCCATGTCCAAGTAAGAAAAAGAAAGTTAGGGTAAGTGGTAATACATCTTAGATAATTGCAAAAAGTTTAGGAGACATCTCCAAGGTATTTGATGAATATGTTCAAGACAGTCATAAACAACTAGACATTATTGCACACCGAGTTAGGTATATGCATGATATTGCTGATGCACAAAAAAAAAAAAGCAAATGTGGAACTTGAGAAGATCAATGGTATATCAATGGTTGATCGACATGCTGCACTTTTTAAGATTTATTGTGACCCAGTAAATGTGGACATCTTCTTTAGCTTGTCTGATTATGAGCTCTCTGCGTGGGTTGGTGGACTATTGTGTCAGGCACCACAACATTGATCAATATTTTTGGAAACTTTGAACACTGCATGGTAGGACATACAAG